AATAGATCGTGGCCTGGTCTATGGATTTAGCTTGATCCATAGACCAGGCCATTCTTCTGACGATGATAAGAAATTATTGTAGAGAGAAACAGTAGTTCGATCTCCACTATGTTGTCATCTTAGTGAATATACTTCATAACCCAGCTTGAAAGCTACCAAGCAGAACTTCCTAGAGATATTTTTATTGCAATTTTTAAGCAGTTCCTATTTGTCCCCATGATATTTCAAGGAAGAAAAGATGGTAATTTATGAGGAATAAACAGTTCCATATTCAGATAATGCTTCTATGATTAAAGAAAGTAACATAAGATATTATAGGGTAAATGTGTTTATAATAAGCTGGGGACTCACCTTTAAGTAGAGTGGCCAGTTCAGTCTTCTGCAAAAGGAATTTGACATGCAGTTAATGAAAAACGAAATTAATAAAGGTCTTTTTTTCTTTCTCCACTATTGAGTAAAAGGCTCTCCATTCATCCTTATGATGGCAGAAAATAATGCTAGCATAAAACGTGCTATTCCTTTTGTTAGTCCTCAGTTCTGCCTTAGTTGGGTTTCTTCTGACTCCCTGCCAAATAGTGTGAGTATGCCATTCCTTGTAACCAAGATAATTAGTTTTCTTATCTCATTTGTGCCATCCTCCTCCAACATATCACTAACCACTAGGGACAATCTTGCCCAGTCCTGATTGGCATTTCAGCACCATGTGGGAGTGTCTGAATTTGGGAATCTACCTGGACTTCTCCAGGCTGGTTTCTTGGCTCCTCCTTCCATGTCCCATTGCAGCATCTCCCAGTTTAAATAATCTGAAATAAGGGAACAAATGAGGAGACACCAGGACAGAAGAGGGAGGTTGATCTTGCCATAATGATCCAAATAGATTGGTAACTGAAACTGAGTAACTGCTGGGCAAGCAGGGGTCTTGCTTCATGGGGGTCAGGGAGGGAAGTGATGGCAATTTACAATATAGAAACTGACAAATCAGCAACAACAACAACAAAAAAGTATGGCTGTTGCATCCAGAGGTAAAGATCTACAATGGCTATCACTTTGGAATACTATCAGAATGGAATTGTGCTAATAAGCCTCCCCTTTTGAAGGTGAAGGTCTGCTTATTGGAAGCCTAGGCAGAAACTGGTGTCAAAAATAGGTGGTATGGAGGTGAAAGGTATATGGGCAACAAGGGAAACAGAATGCTAATGTAGAGGCAAATCCCAGAAGAGCAATACTTACAGTGAAGGCTGGCTAATGACCAGAATGTGCCTGAATCTTCCAAATCTCCTAAAACATACTTCCAGTCATGCCTGCAACAGGTCACCTGACCTCACCTTCAAAAGAATGAGTGACAAAGCTTTCCAGATTTTAGAGATATTGAAACTGTGATGGGATAATGTTGGCTTAAGGAGAAAAGACTATTTTTATATTGGTACATTTAATGATAACTTAACAGAGTTTTACTCACGTGCTGGAGATGAGCTGAGGATATTTATGCAGGCAAAGGGGAAGACTGGGGTTGTCGGAGATTGTCCTGTGATAAACTGCAAGAGCTGGCAAGACCACAGTCCCCATTGTGTTAATCAGAGTCCTTTAATAGTTTTATTCCACGTGAAGCCCAACAGTGAGCTGATACCAGCTGATAGTTGGGCTCCCTTTAAATATACCTGCGCAAAACAAGAGCAAGGTTTGATAGATGGCTAAACCTGCTGGGCTAGTCTTCTGTCAAAATTTACCTCCTTCCCGGCCCAAGCCCACAATAAGGAGAGCAACTGATGGATATTTTTCCTGCTGGCTGATGAGATTTGGCTTTTTTAAGCTGATTCTGCATCAATAGTGTAAGGACAGTGTCACTCCTTGCTCTTGTTACTGAGGCAGAACAGAACTCTATAGTGAGTTCTACAGTGCCATTGATGCTGGCATACTTTTCTGCTAACTCAAGAAGGGAACAGGTGAATATTAACAAGGCCACAAGAAAGAGTCTATAGGAGAGCTTTATCCCAATGAATGTTTTTGATATTATATTGTTGGATCTTGGAAAACAAAAGTCTCCACAGCTCATTGCTGACTGAGCAACTGGGCACTTGAATTGAAACCCTTTTATGTCTAAATCAGAGAGAAAATAACACTCCAAGGAGAAACTAATCCTACTGTCACGTTGATCAAATGTTGAATGAACCTAAAGAAATATATATTTCTATCTTTACAAAAGAATTCACACTACAGACTTCATACCACAGACTTCAAGACTATTGTGTGACTAATATGGAGAGGGAGAATAACCCATGACCTAAAAGCCACATTTTGGGCCCAGCTCCATTTTTGCAATCCTCAAAGCACCTCCAAATTGTGCTGCTGAAATATGGCTCCCAAACGGTTAACTTTTAGCAGCACTATTTTTTTGAGTCCCCCTAATTTTAAGTTGCAAAATAGGTACTTCAAGCCATGACCTCGCAGGGGACTGGGGAGATTTTGTGATGGCTCCCTTACTACGGTTAGCATCATCCTCTCCTGTTTTGTGTGTTTTTTAAAATAGTTTTTATAGTTTTAATGAATGTATGTATTTATTGCTTCTTTTTAATTGGATGTTGTACGCCACCCAGAGTCACTCTCTTGTGAGGTGGGCGGCTATACAAATACAATACAATATAATCAATCAATCAATCAATCAATCAATCAAAATCACTCGCCTAATTGCACCTGAAGCCCATCCATACACCTATGCACATGTCCCCAAAGCTAAAAAGCGTGGTCCCTTATTATAAAAATGTTGCCTGCCTAACTGGATGTTGTGCTCCCCTCCTGCAGGCACCACTTTGTTGCTGTCCCTTGTGTGAAAGGAAATGCAGTGAAGGGGGAGATCGTTAGGCATGGGCTGAAGTCCCCATTTTTCTATTCTCCATTGGCCAGGCAGTCAGCCTGTCCATGCCTCTTCCTTTTTTACCTAACCCCAGGAAGGAAGCAGTAATAGAGACACTCTCGTAGCAGCATAAAACTGCAGCACGGGGGTTTGAGAAGTGAGTCCGGTGGATCTGCCCTGAGTCAGCAAGAAGACTAGAAAATTTAGCCACCGACTAGGGCTTACCCTCCTGTCCCACTATCCCAGCCCAAGAATGCCCTACTAACTGTTTTAAGGACACGTCCTCATGACACAGCCTTGTATCATCTTTAGCCCATGTTTGTCTTTAGCTTTTCTGGTTTTAACATATTTTTCCTCTTCTCCCAACACAAGTCTTGCCAGGCAAACATTCAATGATGCCTCACTGACAATACTGACACATTCAGGGGCTGGAATCTGCCCAGCTCCCATTGGCCATTGTATGTTTCTGTGGGTATGCCCTATCCCTCCTCTCCAGTCACTCGGCACTCCTTCCATGCAACCTTGGCTTAGACTGGGCATCTGGTTCCCACAGAAGCATTTGCTCATGTAATGCTGGATGGCTGCCTGACAAAGCACCATTCATGCATTACACATGGACATAAGTCTAGTATTCTTTTGGAAGACCATTAGACCTATTTTTAACATCAGTTTCATGGTCTTTTGAAAGAGGAGCAGACCCTGTTAAAAAACAAGACTAGCACTCTCTGCGCAGAAGGCGAATTTAAATTTAAACCTATAAACTGAGAAAAAGAAGTACGGTCTGCCAGCTACATGTTGCTGGTTATTTTATTTTATTTTTAGAGGTTTTCCCCCCACCTTTATTATTTTTATAAATAACTCAAGGCAGTGAACATACTTAATACTCCTTCCTCCTCCTATTTTCCCTACAACAACAACTCTGTGAGATGAGTTGGGCTGAGAGAGTGTGACTGGCCAAAAGTCACCCAGCTGGCTTTCAAGCCTAAGCCGGGACTAGAACTCACCGTCTCCTGCTTTCTAGCCTGGTGCCTTAATCACTACACCACCCTGGCTCTCAAATGAGTGCATTATAGGTTTTCACACCTTCTTCTGACAAGCGTTTTCACCTAGCCATGCTGTCTACTGTTTATTTTATTGTGGAACAGGGTGTCCCTTTGCATATCCCGTGCTGAATACAAATGTCATTTGGTGTATTCCTCACAGCATGAGAGGCCCTTTTGAAGACATTCCCACCATCAGAAGCTCTGCTTCAAATATGCAGGAAGGGTTTTCTCCCATGTAGTTCTCAGGCTATGAAATTGATTCCAGGAAACTGTGTTCTCTCTCTCCCAATATCTAGGAAAATTACACCACCTGTTGCTAAGCTTTAGTTAATTAGTTTAATGATATTTATAGACATTGATTTTATATGTTACATGTTTAATTACATGTGTTGTTGTTATGGGTTTATTTTATATTTTGTATTTTTTAAAACTGCTTAAACTGCCTTGAACAGAGGCAGGATATAATTTAAACAATACATAAAATATATCCTAAATTCTGAATCTGGGTTAATGGAACACATGTGGGTATAACATGCTATATCCATACAAATCAATCATATTACAGCTTAATAAACAAATTTTAGGGTCTTCTGGACCTATGGACTTCCAGAATTCACAAAAATGGCCATGCTGTGTTGGGAATTCTGGGAATGGAAGTCCACCTATCTGGAGGACAACCAGGTTGAGGAAGAGAGGCTTGACACTAGACAATGGCTGGGTTCCCACAACATGCTGAACCACGAATTATCCAACCCCAGTTTAGTCCTCTCTGGTGAGTTTTGTGAATTCAGCTACTGAGTCAGATATTATGGCGCCAAAATTCAACTAAAAAAAACCAATGACCTTTTTCTTCTACGTTACATATGAAGTATTCCCAAAAGAGAACTCATTTTTCCACAAGAAATTTTAGAACCGCAGCAACAGCAGGCCCCCCTCAGTCAATCGGGCAGATTCCTCACCTCCACGGTAAACGGATTCGCCACTCCCCCTCAAAAAGGGGTGGGGGGACGCCAACGCGCCTTCGCAGCAGCAAAGCCCCTCGTTCTCACGTTTACCTTCCCAGCCCCTCCTTCCCTTCTCACGGGGCGACCTCTGCAGCGGCTGCTTCAACTGGAAAGGATGGGACTAGCGGTTGGCGACGGAGGCTCTGCGGGAAAGGAAGCGGGGGACTCGGCCGGCGAGCGCCTGGGGGTGGCACCCCGGCCGCTAGGGGTCGGGATATCGCGGCCCGTTCGCCCGGCTGAAGGGTCCATTGGATGGGAGGGTGAAGGTGACGCCCCTTCTCGACAGGCGGGCTCTGTGGGGCCGGAGGAGGGAACTTGCCATGGGACTCTGTCCGCCCCGCACACCGCCGCACGTCCCTCGCCATGGCTCGCAACTTCGAGCTCCTCTTCGAGTCCCTTGGGCACTTCGGCAGGTAGGCGACTCCTGTGCAGAGACCTGGAGGTAGAAGGAGCGCGCCGGGCGGGAGACCCGCTCTTCGCTCCTCTTTCTCTTTCTCTGCCGCCGGGAGTAACGAAGTCGGGTGGGGAAAGAGTCGGCACGGGACGGGGGCGCAGACAGCTCCGGAGCTGAGGCGCGCCCGAACTTCCTCTTGCTCTCCCTGGAGTACGTAGCCGCGCGGAAAAGGCAGGGGAGCTGCCTGGATTGGGCTCCAGGGTGAGACACGTGGCTGCCAGGGGAGACTGAGCTAGTCACTTCTAGCAGCGAGTCAACGCGTTGGCAGTGTTCCCACGACACCCTCACCTGCCTGTAGGTGATCCGTGGCCTTTGTAACCCAACGGTCTGGGTTCGCATGACCCGCTGGACGACAACGACGCCGGCTGGCTTGAGAATCAGTATCTCTTCGAGCACCAGCAGAGAGAGACCGCTGGGAGCTTGGTGACTAAATGGAGATTTTAGCCCGTGTGTCCCCGGTCCTAGCCCAACACGTGCTGGTGTCGCGACTGGGGCACCTTAACCCTTGAATTTCCGGATGAGGGAGGGAGGAGCGGCATTGGCTTTTGTGAGCTATTGCTCCCCGTCGTTAGAAACGGATAGTGGAGTCTCTGGCGATCGCGTCTATCTGGTGGGAAGCCTTGGATTTAAGCTTGGTCTGTAGTTATGACTGGGGTGGCGATGACGATGATTACGCAAATCGAAGGCTGCTTTTTTTACGGAAAATTCCTCCCTTAAACTGGAAGATACAGTTGTAATAATTATTCTGCACATGCTGGAAGGAATGATTTGTGCCCTTACATCAAGCTGGGTAGAACTGAGGTTAGGTAGCAGTAGAAACTATCGTTTGAAGTAGATACTGGAGGTTCTTCGACTTTAAGTATTAAAGCCATTGGGAGTTTGAAATACTCAGCCCTTGAGTGTATGGCATGGGAGTATGACTAAGTATGGGTTGGTATAGTAAATCTCATCTATTTGTGGGATATGCCCTCATCTGTAAGACCCACCCACATATCTGTGTGTAATAACGTTTGTTTGTAGCCTCAATTCTTAGTAAGATTGAGTTCTACAAAATTAAAATCTGATGGGCAGCTTCCCTATAGTTGAATGAATAATAGGACCGTGATAAACTGTTGATGTTTAATGAATGGATGCTCCATCTGTAGCAGTATGGTTGGAGCAAACTGCCAGCAAGTTTAGTGCATTTGATTTCCTAGAGACAGCAAGGGAGGGATAGCTATAAGTCAAGCTCAAAATCAGGAGGAATCTGGTAGCATCTTTTCCGACTAACCTTTCTGGACTAATTGGATTCCTTCTGATTTTGGGCTACCCTAGACTTCACAAGGCCCTCCTCCTGCAGTGTCTAAAGTGAAGATGCTTCTTTGGGAAGAGGAGAAGCACACTTCTGAACATGCTTGTTTTTTTAAGAGCCTACATACTTTGACACTGTCTTGGAACAGGGCAAGCATAATGAAGAAATAAATTGTGCAAATATTTCACACCTATTAAGCTTCCACACACTATCCAAAGTAACAATAGGTTAAGAAATTTAAAATTAGCACAGAGCTGAAATGGGAGGGTGCTTTGCAGCTCTGCTTCCAGGGGTTGGTTGCATTGGTTTTATGTACAGAGAAAACATGTATTTGTGCGAGCCAGAAATAATATTTTACCTGAAGAGATATAGATGTGAGAAATAGATAACCTCTGAACTGAGAAGACTACAAGTCAGTGAAATGTACTTGGTTTTGTATTAAGAACCGGGTCAGCCAACCGGAGGTCAGTGTGAAATAGTGACTAAGCTGAGTGGAACTAGACGCAAAAAGTTACCTGTTGCATGAGTACACACATGCACACAGTCTGTTCACCCAGTACAAATATGTGCCAAAGTTCCTACTTATTTATTGGTGCACAAAAATCAGTTTAATGCTTTTCATTTGCATCTGAGGAACACTGACTAAAAGAAAATACAAAACAGCTACAGCAAATACAAAATAGACTATATTTGCTAAGTTAGCCATGATTTACTTTTGTTTTCTGGCTTTGCACAATATACTAGACCAGTGTTTCTCAACCTTAGCAACTTTAAGATATGTGGACTTCAACTCCCAGAATTCCCCAGCCAGCATGAGTTGAAGTCCACATATCTTAAAGTTGCTAAGGCTGAGAAACACTGTCCTAGACCATAAACCAACTGCACAGTTGGATTTACACAAAATGCTAAACTAAAATATGATGGGCTAGTTTGTGGTTTCATGTACTGTGGAAACAGAGCTTGTTTTTAAACTTGAAGTTTTATTTGCAGTATTAAACTGTTGAGAATCAAGAATCATCTACTGGTGGCTTAGTCTTTGCCTTCCTGCGCGCTGCAGACTTTTTTTTTTCCTTCTCTTTTCCCCTCCCTGGCCAAATAGGGTGAAGGAGATACATGTTCCAATTCCAAGAGCAAATACTGGAGCATGGATTGCACACAGACAAACACACACACACACACACACACACACACAAATAATAGTACTTATTCTGTGTTCTAGTTTGGCTACAATATTTGTTCCAGCTGAATATATATCATTATCTGGGATTGATCAATTATGTTTCAAAACTTAAGACCCAAAACAATGTTCTTAAGAGCCACTGCTGAGAAACTGTTTACTTCCTTTAGTTTATGTATATATTTCAAAGTTTGGTTATTTTTGTATAGTTAATATATTTGATTTTTTATGGTAAGCAGATGAAGTCACGTTGAATTTAGAAGGAACCTACTCAGGTAAGAAAGAAAGTTATAGTCTGGTTATGTCTAAGGGAATTGATTCAGAGTAAATGATGGGATGTTTGAAGTTTTTCACTGCAGAAAACATGCTGAGAGGAAAACAAGATTCTTGACTGATAGATGATATAGTTTTATCTACATTTCATGATACAACTGAAGGTATTGAAATTTCAATATAGTATGTACAGATATATGACCTCAAATCAGAATATTTATTTTAATATTCCAGAGAGCCAGAGTAATCAAGACATTACACTGATTTTAGCTGATCTACTCTTAAGGATGATTAAATCTGGACCCACCCATATTTGCACTATGTAATAATATAAACCCAAGAAAACATGGTTAACCAGGTGAAAACAGAAGGAAAGTGACAGGCCTTCAATTCAAGCCTCTGCTTGCCCTCTTCATTGGTGGTCTGCATAGCAGTTAGGCAGAGGCTTTCCCAACCTTCAGCTTCTAAGTGGTGCTCGGTTACAAGTTCTGTCTCCCCAGGTAACAGGCTTACTTACTTACTTACTTACTTACTTACTTACTTACTTATTTATTTATTTATTTATTTATTTATTTATTTATTTATTTA